CCGAAACACGAATCTGCCTGTACTCAGAGTTGGAGCAGGCAGTCTTGAACATATTTAGAGGATTCAAAATTCTAATTATATTTTTTAAAAATATTAAGCTCTATACTTTAATACTTCAACCAATCTTTAAAAGGCCAAGAATAGGCTTCTTGCCAAAAGAGAAGGCAGATTTTGGCATCTGCCCTAAACCAAGTTTCCTTTCAGCCTTTGTCATTAGTCATTTGTCGGAATCAGTCTTGATCAGAACGGACGTCAGTACTGACTCCCTATGGCAGCTCTTCGAGCAGCTTGCCTACAGTGAAGCAGACTGCTCTAACAATCTTATTTCAAAATACTATTCTTAACTGAGTGCCAAGTTCTAGCGCTCTCAGCCTCATTCAACCTATCAACCCTCCACAACACAGGTCTCTGATTTCAGCAAAGCTCTCTCTTTCTCTCTCTCTCAAAAAAAAAAAAAAAAAAAAAAAAAAACCGATTATCTGGCAGCAGGTATTTCAACACAGAAATACACTTACAATTGCTACAGTTCTTAGACTTTTCAAAGAAATTGCAACATGATTTTCTCAATTGTCCAAGAATAAGTTACTGTTTCATACAGGTTGAAGCTCATAGCAAGGTTACTCTTTGGTACTGTAAATTCTGAAAAAAAATTCTGCCCAGCTTTGGAGAACAAACGGATTTTGAAGCCTATAAATGGGAACATAGCACTTTAAAAGAAGAAGAAAAAAAGAAAAGCTTGAAGTCTCAGATGAGGTATATTAACAATTCAGTCAGCAAATGTTTTGCTACTGTTGTATTTCAGTGATCAATTAGAGAACAAAACTTAACTTCTGCGCTGTTTACTGATTTCTGCCTTAATAAAACATTAATATTAGAATTTATAAATATTAATAAAGTGCCCAGCTGGAACCTGATGGCCTAATTTTCCAAAGCTGTAGAAAAAACATGACTTCCATGATCTTCCACTAAAACACAGACGGGAAATTTAAGAACATACTATGTTTAATTCAGTAGCCATCACCCTCTGAAAGAATATATAAACTTTCTCCACTCTAGGCATCCCACTCAGCATCCAGCAGACTGAGCTGTGTTTAATATTAAAGAAACATAGTCCTCAGCTGATGGTACCTATATGTTTTCCAGCAAAGTAGTGAATGGATTCCAAGCACTGTAATTTATCTGAAATTACCTGGATTTAGACATACTTTTTTTTCTGATTCATCTATGAAGACAAAGGGTATATTTTTCTTTATGAAAACTTCATACTGAAAGCAATTATAAATTTTCACATTAAAGCACAAGCCTGCAGGTTGAACATTGCCAAAAGGGTTCACAGTCACTCCATTTTGCTCTGTTTTATACAATATACTTTATATATGATAAATTTTCTGAAGAAACAACACAAATTATTTCTACCCGTTTCAAGAGATTTAAAAGGACAGACTTTAAAGTGTATAAAGTGAAAATTTCCTGGCTATGGTACTGTCGAGATGTTCTTTCCACAAACCAGAAAGCGTAGAACTGTGACCACGGGCAGATCATTTGCAGTACTTTAGATGTGTTATAAAATCACAGATAAGATGAATACAGCATAATTATATAAATGCAGCCAGTTAGTGTTTTAAGAAGTTATTTTGTTCTGAATAAAGTGTGTGCTTTGCTTTGAGCTCATCACTCAGGCTCACATAGTGGTCACTGTCCCTCGGTGAACAGTAACAATTAATTCAGGAGCCCACAGCCTCAGAGCCTCATCTTAAGAATCCCAAGAGTCTGTCTTTAAAAAAGATGTTTTCAAGAGGCCTGGTTACATGGAGCAAGAGGTTGCATGGAGCAACCTCAGAAGTCATATAGAAGTTTGGTTAACTCATACATAGTTAAAGCAGACTCCCTTTTCTATTTCTACTAAAGCCTTTTAGCATTTCTGAGCCTTTTAACTACTTCACCTTTCTTATCTGCAGACTCTGTCTCCATTCCTTCACTCCTTTGCTCCCTGTTTCACGCTATCATGTACTCCAGCAATGTTTTTCTCCAGCCTTCAACCAACCTTCTCCCTCTGACCTATCATTTTTGGATGCATTTAAAAGAAATGCTCCAAGATTCAAAAATTATCAGGCATGCAAAAAGAATCTTAGCAATGTATAAATAACAGTATCAAAAATTTGTAATTTTTCTGGTTTGAGAAAGGCCAAGAGGAAAGCAGGCCTGAGTCATATTTTCTAAATGCTCTGGTTTGAGCATATTGCTTCTAGGGTCTAAGTTTAGAAAGAAAATTAACAGTAAAATTGTTAATTAACCCTCTATTTCCTTAACTGTGCTTTTTCCTTATAGGCCTTCTTATTACTCATGAAGTAACATCTCCTGTAGCATACACCATGTAATCCAGGCACATCTGGATACTGACTGTGACAGACAACCTACAAGAACAAAATTATATAAATATATATTAAAAAAAAAGCAACAACAACAAAACTTTGTAACGCAGTAACCCAAACTGTCCTGAGATCCCTCAGCTTGCTTTCCTTCTGCCACCTACCTTCTCAAGACTCGTTAACAACGTGGCGTGCCTGTGAGTTGTATTATCTTACGAAGGCTCTCTGGCTTTATCGCTTGAGAGAGCAGCACACCTATCCGATCAGAATGCTACATATACACACCCACATTTGGCAACTAAACAGCCTAAAAAGATGTGGGCATTTAGCTGGGAGCACTAACGTTAACAAAACCAAACTTCCTACAAGCTTTCTTGTTGTACCTAGTAACTGCACACCCTTGTTGGGGAGTTTTCTGTGGCTATGGGAAGTGCAGTCTCTTCATTCTTCAGTGCCTGGCACAAAGATGCAAGGTCACGCTGCAGCTTTTTCCTCATTTGCAGGAGCACTTACAGGTAGTCAGCTACCTTCACAAAGACAGCCGTTTTCTTTGAGACTTCTGCCTCTGAGGAATCTTTGGGGATTTCTGGGATAATAAGAGGGGAATCAGACAAGTTCAGATCATATATCTTCTACAAGATATTAGTCTTAAAAAAGAGGGGAAAAAAAAAGATCATCAGCAAAATTCTATCCTTAAATCTGCACTACAGGCCTGTCTTCACTTCAGTTGGCTATTCCCATGTAATAATTGACTACTCCATGCAGTAGTTGGAAGGTGATGAGGCAAATGGCTTTTTCCCTACCTTTTCTCCATCTTCCTTAAATGCACAATTCTACAGGGGCTTCCTACTCATCCTTCCTAGCCTTTCCTTCCCACTCTTCAGGGAGAGGGAAGCAGGAAGGCCAGAGCCACTGCTTGTGTCCTCTCGGCTTTGATGCTCAGCTCCCAAAGCTGTATTTAAAAAAAAAAAAAAAAAAAAGTTCCTCTGCAGTGGTAATATTCACAGTACAGAAGGGCAGGGGATGTAACAGCTATCTTCTACCATACTCTATGTGTAAATCAGAGCCTGACTAAGGCTTAGAATTTGGTTAGGTCTGGGCAGATTTTCAGGAATTGCCCAGGGACAGCTCCCTGCAAACCGCAGCAGCCTCCACCCTGCCACGAAGCCCTGGGGAGCCCCGGGCAGCCGCTCATCTTGGGGCCCGCTGGGGAAGGCGGCTGCGCCACCCCTGCCAAAACCAGGCCCCAGAACCCTCCGCTGGGGGGGCAGCCACCAGGGCACGGCCGCTGCGCACACCCGTACGGCCACAAAGTCGAGCCAAAGGGCTAGCGTCAGATACTCAAACCTGGAACTCGGCTACTAAACACGCAGCAATGCTAGATGTATGAGCAATGTATGTATTATATACGATTGACATATATAAATAAAAAAACAACATATATGTTACACAAATGTACATGTGTTATATAAATTACATATATTTGAATCCGTAACAGCTGTGTTTAGGATTGCGGCCGCCCCTCGGGCCACGCGGCCCCGGCGGCGCGAGCCCCGCGCGCCCGGGCAGCCACGCAACCCACGCGGCCCCGGTGGCGCCCCGCCGCGGCCTTTTACCTCCAAACGGGGGCGTTGGGGCGCAAACGGGGCACGCCTGGGTGCTCGGAGCACAAAGGAGTTAATTACAAAAGAGAAGAGACCAGTTTTAGGCAGCGGGGAAGCAGCAGCAGCGCCTCCCTAGCAGAGGCGCCGACCCCCGCCCGCCAGGACCCGCTAGGGGCGCCGCCGCCCCGCGCCCCCACCAAGGTCGAGCCCGTTAACGGCCGCTAACGGCCGCCAAGTCTCCCAGTCCGGCTCCCCGCGGCCCCCATGGCCGCCGTGACCGCGCTGAGGCTCGGCCGAGATCCTTCCGCCGCCGGCAGCGGCATCCCCGCCTCCTCCCGGGCTAGATCCGGGCGGGCCGG